GCGCTATACCAGCTGAGGGGGGGGTGCATCGGGAAGCAGAGTGTGTTGGAAAAAAGAGGCACAGAAGGACTGGTGGTTTAATACGGACTTCCCTTTTCAGCCCATACTTTGAACCACCCAGCCTTCCTGAAAAAAACTCGTCGCCTGGTCGTCATCCACGCCGCCTGGGGAAGGCCCGATAGTCGAACACGGTGCGAAGCCAGTGGGCGCAGCGGAAAAGGGCAAATGGACTGTTGCTTTGCACGATGGTTCAGTCCATGGATGTGAAAACCCTTGCACGGATGAGACAATGTCTACTATCGAAACAAAAAAAAAAACAAAAAAAAACCTGAAACACACGAACAGAGTGACAAAACATAGGAGGGTAGAAAAAAAAAGGCCTTGAATTTGAGAAAAGGGGCAGAAGCGCGCAACCTAGGCAACTTTGCAGTCACTGCAGTGATTCAAAGTTCAGTTTTTCATGCCTCCAATTTTTTTGTGTATCTGCATCCTTTCTGTGTCTCCATACATGCGCAGAAACAGGGGCAGGGCCAGAAAAAAAGGAAAAGTGGAAAAAAAAAAGAACTGACTTACCGTTTCGCAGTGGCAGGTCCAGAAAGGAAAAAAAGGAAAAATGGGGAAAAAAAAAAGAAAGTAACCTTTTCTCGGTGAGTGCCCATTAAGGAAAATGGGCGATGCTGTGGAAATCCGTGCATGTATTTGGTGCAGGAAGTGTGCCACATGCAGTCGGACTATGAAATTATGAATGGATTGGTGGAGCATGTGGCGGCACAGCGGTCAGCACACACAAGACAACGGTAGGTCCCGAAGTTTTTTTTTTTTTTTTTTTTTTTTTTTTCCGAATGAGAGCAGGGATCTCGTGTCGAGTAGAAAGGTCCTAGATTTCTAGTTTTTTTACTTCATTTTCAATGTCTCAATGTCAAAGAAAAAGATCTATATATACTACTGCCCGTTCGGCTAGAAAACAGGCAGCCATTCATGATGATCAGGTGCCTGCATCTGGCACCTGAAATGGGCTAGATGCACGCGCTCTCGCCTGTGGATGTTTGGCTGGCCCAGGGTGTAAACGAGTAAAAACACCAGCCTCCTTTTTGTTCCATCTTCCGGCAGCAGGTCCCGGGCTGAGGCCGGGTCCAGTAGTATCACCCTCAGTTTTCCAAGCCGTGGTACTGCTCGCTTTCATGCTCCGGTGAATTTCATAATTTAGGTACCACCTCTCCTAAAGACAATGTTTCCTTTAAAAAAAAAAAAAAAAAAAAAAAAAAAAAAAAAAAAAAAAAAACATTTAGCTAGCCCAAGCACTCAAATAGCTAGGCTACCAGAATGGCCCCAGACCACTTGCCCGGCTGGGGCAAAAAAAAAAAAGAAAAGAAAAAAATATAATTTTTAAAATTTTATTGTTTAGTAACTTCAGTTCAAATTTGGTAAAGAATTTCGATGTGACCCTGAGGCTGAAGTTGTTCAGTTTATTTTTCTGCATAACATCATTTTTTTTTTAATACTTTTTTTTCGGATTTTGTTTTGCTCTCATGCCCCCGCCCCCCTGGTGAATTTCAAAATTTAGGTTTGTACTAACTTTGTAAGTTTGTAGTAACTTTGTACATTTAGCCTCGGGTGTACTGGTGGTTAAACAGTTTAAACAGTTTAAACTCTCCAAGCACTAAATACTATGAACAGGTATTTGTCACATAATTCATGACGTGAGTCACGTGACATTTTTCTTAGTTGTTTTCTGCTTTTGCTTTTTGTGACGAGCCCAACAACCGAGGTTTGTGTGTCAAATTTGGTGTGAAAAACAAAAAATGACGTGTGTTGCAGTCTCGGAAATGGCTGTTTGCACGCACCGTGAAACGCCGGAAAATCCCGAGATAAATATATTTGCTTGTAGAAGCATCGTCGCCGTCCGACCGACGAGCACCCGTAAACTGTTGAAACGCAGACGGGAATCCCGAATCCCGATGGAAACAGATGAACGAAATTCGTGAA